ATTTTATTGTCAGTTATTATTTTTAATAAATTCTAATTAAATGTTGAAGATTAAAGAAAAATACATTGAAGTATTTATTTCATTAAAACATATCTCTTTGCAATTTGTAATTAAAATGCAAATATCTATGTGATATTAACGATTAATTGTATCAATAAGAATATTTTAATAAATATTCAAAATGTTTAAATATATAGATTCAGATTACTGAATTGAGATACTCTCCAGTCAGCAAAATAATGGCAAATCTTTGAACAAATCGATAGAAATGTTTAGTTTCTTGTTTTCTCTTGAGGACGCGATAAGGGAACATTCGAATTTGCGGCACTCGCAAAGAACGCGCACGAGCGATGGTACGAGAGAATTAGCGGAGACGGAGTACCCTCTTGCGCACAAGATTTCCGGGAGTTTAATATAGTTTTAGGGGCGTCGGTCGACAGCCCTGAGGGGTGTAATGGCGTCTTAAACCTCAGGGGTTCTCAGCCTCGAATCTTCTCGCCTCTTAGAGTCAACCGGTTCCGTTCGTTTCCTTTACTGTTAAAAATTCGCAAGCGTCGAATCTCAACTGCCGCCGTCGGTTAAATCTTTGATCTCGCCACTTCTCGAAGCCGCAGAGGTACACATGAGCAGGCTGCGGCACAGAATGCATCCCATGTGCATTTAGATTGAAACCCCGGTACTTTCCGCATAAGGGATAAGGAAGGATAAGACGCGCTCCGATGGTGCTTGATTTTTACGAGCACGTAAATTCTGAAAGCTCGGCTTTTTTTCTCCCCGCCAACTTACTTTTTCTTTAAAAATTCCTTTATTCTTTCAATAAAATCGATCTTATAATTTACGATTTGCAACTGTTGATCGAATTCATCTATTAGGAATTGTCACAATTTATTGGAACTTCTAAACAAATTTTGAAAGATTAAAAGAGAACTGGTAATGCAATGGATAATAATAAATGGAAAATAATAAATAAATATTATTAGATTGTTTCATTTTTCGCGTTTTTTCGGTAAAGTTTGATCTATTAAGTTTTGATTGATTTATCAATCGTTAAGGAAATTTTCTTCTCTCCTGAAATGCTAATTTAATTGTGTAATTTAATTTTATGATTTAAAATAAATGCAATATTACTTTTTCTTTTCTTGATTACAAATTCGAGAAATTTTGCTAAAAGATTTTTAATAATATTCTAAAATTAATTATAAATTTATTGAAATTGAAAATTTTCTTATACCACTTGACGATTTAAACCATTTTGATATTTCTTCCATGAATATATAAGACCACGTACGTTCTGCATGTGCCATATTCTATTTTCTTTATTTTTCTCCTTCTTTCGAAAATTCTTTCGCTCGCAGTTGGAATTTTCTGTTCATACTCGAAGTATTATTGATCATCGATCACCGTTCTGGTCACGTTCTTGAAGCTGCATTGTCTTGGCTTTGCACGAAAGTATTGGTATTCATAAGTAACGTAAACAAGTGACCTATACAAGGTTTAATAAAATTTTTATTGAAAATAGATCGACCTCTTTGATTAGTCAATTAATAACGATATTTTAAAATTGATAGGTTTAGTCGTGCAACGTGGATAACATTATCCTGGTAACTCGTTGCTTTCAACGAGTTTATTAACGCGGTTATTTTGACACAGACAATTCCACCGAAGAAATAAACTCAACGGATCCAAGAGAGTTCCGACGGCTCTTGATTTTTATGAGCGCGTAAATTTCCGGCGGCTCCTTTTCTTTCTGCCTTGTCTTTCTCTTCTTTACTTCGTTTCCGAGAAACGAGAATCCCAGTAGACCTGGCGTTCCATTTCTACACATTATTCTACTCTTCTCCTTCTTCTTTCTTTCCCCCGTCCCCTTAATCCTTCGTTTTCTCAAGAAAATGATATTTTAAAGTGCCATCTTCTCTCTCCTGCATATGAACGCTAAACTTAATACCCTCTCGGCCGCTAAAAAATGCCGCGGTTCGCGCTAGCTACATCAACAATATAAGGGAATAAAATAGTGACATCTCTAGATGGAAAAATGCGTAGAATGTACCACTGAATAAAATATAATATACCGTAGAATTAATATAAGTTATATAATAGAGATGTGCAAATAATTTAAATTCGAGTTGAATCGAATGGAATCATAAGTGCATTTTCTTTCTCTCTTGATTTGTTTCTGAATCCGAGAGATTCGAAATCGAATAAATTCGAAATTTCGAATCATCAGTGGTTTGATTTCGAATCGATTGCTTATTTTATTTATTTTATTTGTGCAAGATTCTTAAAAATTAAAAATAATTTGTTTTCCCGTTTATTTAAAAAATTCGGAACGTTATTGAAAATACTTTATTATTTTTAAATTAGTTTTAAATATCAAGTCGGGAAAATTTGATTCGGGAAAAATCGAATTCGAGTTGTTTTCTATTCAAAAGATTTGATTTGATTCGACGTAAAAATTTCAAATTCAATTTTTTTTTGAACATATATTATCAAAGATTTTATTTAATTCGATTCGACCATACAAATGTTCGATTTGCATACCACTTTTATATAAGAAGCAAAAAATATATAATATATAGAAAATAAAATAAATACTATATTATACTATAAACATAGATATTTCAAAATCTCTGAAATTTATGATAAAATCTTTGATAGTTTTGGAATCGATATTTTTTTACAAAGTGATGCAAGAAAATTATTTTTGTCTGAACAATTTTTGACCAAAAATGATTTTTATTAATCCTGAGTATCTAATATAAAATTTGATTTTTTATTCAATTTATATCCAGCTAAGTATAGAGAAAACGGATTTTTGAGGTTCATTTACTAGTCAGCCAAATAAGAAGAGTTCGTACTAAGGGATTTTGGATTTTCCAGTGTCCGTTTGCCTGGTAGAAGCGATATTCCGTAACCATGGCGAAGTCGTTGCGATATAGACGCGAAACGGGCAACCTCGGTGCGAGCGCTCGGACGGTTCTTGATTTTACGAGCTCATAAATTTCAAACGGCCGCCCTGCACTTCCACCCTCTGGCTTCCATCGGCGCTTAACTCCGCGAAAATTCTATCCGTTTCGTCTCACCCCTTGGGTTCACGTAGAACTCTGAGGAATTTCATCGAGCGGCGGACTCGTCGAATTCCTACTGTACACCCTCCACAAAAGCGCGTCCTTAACTCTGAATCCGCGCGTGAATCTTGATCTAAAGGGCAATGCAACTATGCGACTGATATTCGCATAAAATGACTGCATAAAACCTTGTACGCGATACATAAACGTTGACAAAGTGGAAGAACAATGCATCTGATAATATAAGTCAAAACCCATAGAAAATCTAATTGTCTAATAATGTCATTCAGTGT